TTAGAAGATACACTGTTTCACATCTTGTTCCAAGTTGGTTTGATATTGCAGCCAAAACAAGTTTAACAAAATATAACAATACTTATGTCGAATGTAGACTATGATCAGGATTGTTGTGTTCATGTTTCCTTAAAAATTTTTTTTATCGCAATTGGCATTGTGAAGCGCCACGGAGCAATCAAACTGTTTGAATGTTTGGTGTCATATTATATGTATTACAAACATGTTAATAAAGAGAGATATTTTGAAATTACATACTGTGTAGAGAATTGAACACAAAGTGACTCGCCTAAAGCGACCCATATGTTTAGAGACAGCTTGATTTAAATATAAAATGCGTTATGTCTGTAGATTCCAACTTGTTTACTTTGTCTCTAGAGCCACTACCGTGTTAACTTTAAGTGAATCTTGATTGAATTTCTTTTTCTTGAATCAGTCAAGCGCCATAATACATGTAAAAAGTAAATCCCTCGACTTCACAAAACCCAAACATTTACGAAACAAATACTTCTCTCTATTTTTTTAAACTGATGTCTGGAAGCACGATTGTAATGAAACCAATGGCTTTCATCTTTCTAAGAAAAGGTTACATTATTTAAGATGCTTGGGACAGTTCTTCCACATGAGTGACTATTATATGTTTATATATCGTCTTCCACTGAATAACCTTTCATCGTTGCAATGCTTGGTTTCATTAGTCTCTTGACAATCAACAGTTAACATGTACGTATAAATTATACATTCAGCTCATCCACAGCTATTCCAGATATTTCAACCGTAGTAACACAAACCTGATATCAATCTTTACAAATTGAATTGATTTTGGTTCCACTGAAGGAATCGATGCATTCAGATTTTACCGCTTGACATGGGCAAGTATTTTGTTACTTCTTCTAAATGTCGTTTGATCTTCCGCTGTTCCTAATCCGAGTTATGGACATGATGGCGGCATCTATGATCATCTAACGCAGGTCTCGTGGAAACGAACTGGTGATCACAATCACAACAGGGATGATCAAAGTCAAAGGTTGAAATCTAAAAATTTTTCTGGGCAACTTTTTCTTAGCAACGATTTCTTTTTTATAGTCTAGAGAAGGATTGACTTTCTTTTCTTAGATTGTTATTGATGGGGTTGCTTTATTTCTCAGACCATATCTTTCTTGGAAATGTGGTCGTATCTCGCATGGCAACTGTTTGTTAAACTGTACACATGGACGTCCAGGTTTATTGCCAGAGATTACACAAAGTTAGTCCTAGACGACTCTTTGGGTCTTGGTTTATGCTCTACCTAAATAAAGTAAACGCTGACCTCCATTCAGGCGCCCCGAGCCTGGTCTTAATGAGGACAAACTTGGGTGTCTTGGAGTTCTATAATCGCTTAGGTTCAATTTCAGGAGTAAATATATTTATCGATAACATACTTAAGGTTTCTTGAACTTGAAACAGAATTGTCGAATTCTTTTGTGTTCCTTCTAAACAGATGTAGTACTGACTTCTCTAAATTCGGCCTTAATGAAGAGACGCTGGTCTGCTGGAGTCGTATAATAGACATAGTTCAATATTAGGGGTAAACTGAGTTACCGTTAGTCGACCAAGAGTCGTGCCTTTTTGAGTTAAAATACCCAGAGGAAAATAACGATCGTTGATAAAATAACCTCTATTGCTTCATTTCTGCGGTCGGTTGCTTATCACAACACTAATCATAAGCCAAGTAGACTTTATTTAAGATATTTCAGCTTCCCGTCCCCTTTGTTTGTGACGGAACGGTGAACCGCCAGAGAGTCTCTTAAGTGATGTGATTCAATAAGTCAACATAACGGGCCTATTTAAACACTCTAATGCCTCATTCACACGAAAATCTTTCTCTTTTTTATGTCGATGATCCAATCTGTTTGCATCGCTAAACAGTTGACGAACCCCAAATTATCAACTTGTGGGAAGAAGTCTCTATTTAACTAAGCGCACGATTTCACGGGATAGAGAAATATTAGCACATTTACAAACCCAACAAATTCAATCAGCTGACAAAACACTGAGACTCAACTTTTACTCTTCACTTTCAAAATAAGATCAATAGCATTTTGTCGTAATCTTTTCAGGATAGAAAATCACCATTCAATGGTCGAGACAGTGAAGTGGGTTGAAGCCTTCTTAGGCATAACTGCCGGGTATTTATGTTCTACGGTTCCCTTAAAATAGCCCATCGCTCGGTCGGCATTGATTTGTGTCTCCATTTCTTGACGCCCGCGGGCACTAACGTGTAGTTTTGAAAGGATACAATTGGTGTGGCTTGGTGTAGCAACTGTGGCTGTTAATCGTTTTCAAATGATCTTAAGATTTGTTCAAGGTGTATTTGAGGTGAATTGGTGCAGTAGTTAAATGAATTAGTCTCGTAGTAGTCGCTTTTACACGATATATTTCATAATACGTATATTGTACATATTGAAATACATACCTATAGTACACACTAACGAGGCTTGATAATCAGGTCTTTTGTTGTCTGCAAGGCAGATAATTTTTTGACCCATCTAGTTTTTTAGATTAGCTATGCATATTCCGAAGGGTTAACAAACAACTCTTCTGTTGTTGTTACTGTTGATGATCCTATTGATGTAGCAACTTTGAGCAACAACATTTTGAATATTATTTATTTGTTTGCAGATAAGTTTATATATTACTTAACGTTTGAAACGGCACTGTAGTGGATTTTTTAAAAATAAAGTATATTGATTATCATTAATTTGTCGGCATTTGTAAGCAACCGTAGGCGTTTAAAATATGCTTAAGACATATTCAGTTTATTTTGAAAACTTGGATACGATAGTACTTCCGAAACGTCTTTAGATAAATGTTGTTTTCTCTGAGATACGAAACTAAAGAAATAATTGGATATATGGGTTTCCCACGTGATCTTATCGATCATTACTTGAAACACAATGGCCGTGTATTAATAACTGTTTGTGCATCTGTAACACCGTAGGGCATCATATCAGTTTTCGTGAAAAGATCAAAAAGAGAGAGAGAAATATTGACTTGTTCCGTTTGATTATAATAGTGAAGAAAATGCAAATTTATAATGATTGTCATGGTACCATTGATTCTTGTTGCTTTTAGTTGTGGTTCTTGTCTGTGTTGCTATATACCTTTAAGCTATAAGCGCCCTCCTATTATACTTCTCACTATTATTTTCTTGTTATTTCAATCCTAAATAAATATTGGTTTTACTGTTTGCCGGCTGTACAGTCTTATTGAATGCAGTATAGCTACCTGAAAACAAAATCGTTCTTTGAATAGGAAGCATTACGTAGTTTTTGATGCCTAATGAGCTGTGCTTATATAAATAGGAGTTCGGCGCTCTTACGAATTTTGACTTTGCGGAAATGTTGCTAAACGAATTAGGATTGTATTCAATTCGTGGCTATATCAATTGACAAATATATTAGAAACATTTTGTTTTAATACAAAGTCTATACTATAGAAGTGTTGAATATGTAAAATTTTTATGTTTATATGGAAAAGAAAATGAACGAAGTTTAAAGCATTCGATTGGGGTGATGTGTGTTTTTCGATTAGGGCAAGGTATATATCATTACTTTTGTTTGTGGAAAGATTAAACATACCTTATGTAAGAGCTAAATATGCCTATTGCAGATCTTTCTTTAGGCCTGAAATGTTATCTAACATATTAATTAGACATTAATTAACTTATCCAGACCATAATCAACTCTCGATGTCCTCGCTAGCCTGCGATGTTTATTGGATTAGGTTCCTATATGCTGTTCGACTTCCATTCATGATTTAATCATGAAATGGATAATCGAGACTATGTTTTATTGTACCGACTTTAGTAATGATGATCGAGGCTAGGCCGAAAATTGAATCGCTAAAATCTCGGTTTAGAGTGAATCAATTTGACTAAAATTTTCAGCATTATCTAGTTTTTAACTATTATAGTGAGAACTGCCAGCTCTTCATCTTATCTCCCATAATGTATCTTTAAGAGAACGTCGGTCTGTTGACTAATTTTAGTTTCATTTATAGCTCACATAAGAGTATATACTTAGTTGTATTTCTACAATGGCTTTATCTACAAAAGTAAAAGTTTCAACGAAGACAGATTTTCATTCCATAAAAGACAATCAACATATAAAATCCAATGAAATGGACAATTTCATTTCTGACCCATTTCAAATATGTCTGGTTATTTTGAATTCTCGAATTCGTCTACTGATATGCGAATTAAACCTGTCAGGGATCTTTGAAGCAGACAACATTTGTTGTTGAATTCTTTAATTACCTATACAACAAAACAGTAGACATGGTTCATTGTATTAATCCTTTGTGCTTCTTTATTATTAGTTATCGTAGTTTTAGCCCTTATCAGTCCTTATCAGAGTTTATTTATCAATACTTTAATAAATAAATACATTGCAGAGATGGATTATTGGTGATAATGTGGTAACAATTTCTATTGAACTTGTGTATCTCTACCAAGATATAACAAGCTACTTGATTGACAGGCAGACACAAACCAAACCTAGCACCTGCCTCAGATGGGAAATGTGCAACAATCAATTAATAATGTATTTTTTATTGTTTTTGAGACAATATTCACGGAAATCGAATTTTTGATTTCTCTTAGTTTCAATGTAATGTCAATGAAGGGTTGCAATTCATTTGGTTCTTTGAAGAAGCCGTAGAAAATTAATATTTAAATTCATCATCCTGAACAGCTCGCCTCGATGAGTTGATAGGAGCAATCAATTACTCCAAACTGGTCGATTCTTTGATGAAATTATGAAAATGGATAAACTTCATTGTTTTAATCTTAACTTCTATAAGGATTAGAATATTCAGCAAATGGTCAACCATTATTATTTTATGTGCTGATTTACATCGACAGGCAGGTGTTTGGTACTACTTCACATTTCTTTACATCATAAACAATTATTCCAAAATATTCTGTAGTAAATTTACGTTTATATCTTTGAATATTTCAGGCGGCATTACAGTCACTCAATGAGGATTTACAAAGTGATACTTCCGGGGAGACAACTACCAGTGATAGTGGAAGGGGCGGAAGTGAGGAGGACATACAGTTGCCCCCTCTACCAGAAATGTCAGGTAAATAGATCGTCTATAGAAATTTCCTTTGTGTTCTATTTTCATTTGATTGTCTAGCATTTCTTTCTTAATCTAAATTTCTTTATTATTTTCTCTTTTCATTGAAATTAATAATTTCACTTTCACTAATTGAAACCCAATGATAATAGCCTAAAATATTGAAAACGTAAAGTATATGGTTTATCTGTGCTGTTCAAATAACTAATCACTAATAATTAATATCACCATTTAATAAAACCGAAAACCCAATAATAGTATGTTATTTCTTAAAGAAGTTGAATGATAAGCAAGTAGTTCTTTAAAAAAATATATATTTACCGGTTTGTTTATAATTAAACTGTATGATATAATCTAAAAGTAGCTTAGTATTGGTATATATATATATTATAAATATGGTTATGGTGACAAATGAACCACCAGGTATAAGATAAGTTTTCTAGCTTGTATTTTTGTTTATTGTTTTGTACCAGTTCAAAGAAGCACTGGTATTAAGGAATGATCCCGTGGTTTCGCAAAGGCATGTGTGGGGTTACTATTGTTTGTATAGTTTTGCATTGCGATGGTTTATGTGTGTTTTGAAACGCATCAAATTTGTGACCTCATACCGTGTATTGGAACATAATGTAAACGGGTTTGGATGCTTTGATTTATAATGCCAAATTGCTCAGATCGTGTTCTATTTTATGTAATAATTGGTATGGGAGGCTTTGGCCAGAAAGCATACAATGTCTCCCACGATAAGAGTAATTTGCTTATATTAAAGTAAAAGTTAATCAAATATCGGTTATAAAAAATATGGATTCTAAATATAATTTCTCGCCTAGCCATTGTTATGGACATCGAAAAAATATAACGACGGTCTTTGATGGGACCAATGTGCCAAATGACTCTTTGGTTTTTATTATTCATCCACATGATTGCCTGGACTAAAATCTTAGCTATAATTGTTGATGACCCCAATATGTTTCCTAAATTCCATATAAAATCCGTAACAGGAAATTCAGTTTCTTAATTTTGCGATTTGACTAATATTGTTTATCGGTATATTGGCTGTGTCTAGAAAAAAATCACCTAGAAAATGAATGAACAAAGATAGTTAACTTGGTGTTAGTTGATGATTTCGTCTGACCAGATGGCCCAATATAATACGGGTTCGATCGCGTACGACTAAATAGGATGCCGTAATGAAACGTCATGCTGGGTCTAATCGAACAGGATTGGACCGGAGAACAATAATTAATCAAGCTTAATGTCCGCCATCCCTTAATTATCATGTTCGATCAATAAGTAATATTGCAGCTAAATTACAAATTGCCACAAATAATAAAGATATACGAGAGACTGACTCCTCTAAACTTCGTTCTTTTGCCTGCCATTTTTTAAATGATATATATCTTCTTATATCGTTATTTTAGCTGATTACATCATAAATTTCTTCTCGCAATAATTTTTTGTCCGTAAATGCAATTACTTTGATGAAGCTTATAGCTTTTCGTGTCTTTTATATTTTATTTTTAGATCTAATTGATTTATATTTGAGACCTTCCTATAACTTTCTAATGCAAGTCATTAAGATTACATTGTTTATAGTGGTGAAATTGATGCATGCTTCGGCTGAATTTGAAATCATATTATAAAAACGCAAATAGCCAAAACGCTTCATGATGTTTTGATATTTTACCTTTTCCGGATCATTCCGCTTGTCAAGAACATGGGCGTTAACTGTGCTGAGGCGGATGAGTGGTCGAACAGATGAGGTTGCTTATGCCATGACCTTACAATAATCTTTAATAGATAGCGGTTCTTACGCATCATATAAATGTTTATCTTAAGAGTCAAATATACTGGTGTTTGACTGGTACTGGATTTGTAACCATAAATAATTAGTAGAAATGAATAATTAATACATGAATTTAGAATAAGTTTTCTTGAAATTTAACGTTATGTTATGTATTATCATAAAACAGTGCAATTATCAACTTACTAATTGCCAAAATGGCTGCTCTAAACGATCTTTAATTTCCAATGGTATCTCTTATATTTTTTTTTATCTTATATTCTTCATCTTTTTCTGTTCACGTACTTATCACAATATTACTCTCTATACTTTACTTTTATTCTTTACCATCTTTTTTGTTTTTTCAATCATCTTTTTCAGCACATCGTAAGTCTCCATGCTTAGAAAATATATGATATTACTTGTCTTTTATTCTTCCACTTGGAAGATGCCTATTGATATGTTTTCTTAATCTTAACATCCAATATTTCACATATTTTGTGTAATTAATTTGTCGTTTTCTTTGTTGTCGGTATGTCATAATATCTTTCTGACGTCTTTGAAAAATTAATATCCTTCGCAAAGCAACGTATGGAATCTAAAAAATGCACGTGCTAATGTAATAATAGGTCGTGGAATTCTCGAGAATATTTATTATCCACACGAACATGTTATGTTTAATCTTATTCGTAATCTGTTCTTACATAGTTATGCGTTTTTCTAATAAGTTTTGATGTTTATTATTTCTCCTGCTCGTTTACATATGAAAAAATGACACTTATTTTCGTTCATTATGTATCTGCAATATTCTAAACGCCTAAACATTTGTTAAAACTGCATTTTTATCTTTATTAATTGCAGATGGAAGTGGAATAACATCGTTCACCACCACCACCAGATCACGTGAAGGGCCACGAAAGTTGAAAATCATAAATTCGCACTTGATGGAAAAGGATCCTCTTCGTAACCGATCGTTTGAAACCTTTTCACCACGGATTTTACCATCATACGCATCGCAAATGACCAACTTTTCAAATCCAGCACACGGCGACAACTATCATGATATTCACCCCAAAGAGAAGCGACGATCTTTTCATGAAAATCAAGAACTTACATCTCCAAGAGACAAAAGTGGCAAGAAAGTGACTTTTCAGAATGACATTCATGCCAAACAAAAAGTTCGCGATTGGCAAAAATATAACACCGGTGGGGTACAAAATGTGATTCCCTTCCGGTATGGTAATGATATGAATATGACTAAATTAGGAAGTGACTTAAGTAGTAGAAGTTTTTACCAACATCGTTACCATGACGATGATGACAACACGACCACGTCCGGAAGTTATACCCTGGATAGAGTAGATTTGGATGACATGCTCGGAGAGCAGTACTCTCTGACATAAACATTGAATATGTGTTCAAGTTTAACTTTGGAACATTATATGTGTATATATCAAATGACCATATATAATTATTTTTATTTATGTCCTAAATGGAACATTAATTATGAAGGCTTACCATATCATTATATCAAATTCGTATCATATCAGCGTGAAGCTATATTGTTCTGAACACCCATTACAGCATAATTGAACACTGTATGTGTGTCCTGTATACAATGTCATGTAAATAGTCAATATATATATATATAACATATAACAGAACGTATTGCTATATGTTGCACCGAATGCTTTCAGTGAGATTTTGCGGCTATATGAAGTTTTAAAACTTTACGTGACACACTGTGGTGCTAAGTGGTGTACTGGTATAATTTACAATTAGAATGTCTTATCTAGGCCCTGATCACCTCAACTATCTGCACACGGTTTCATCGGAACTTAATTAAATACTACAATCATAGGGATCCCAGATATTCTGAATCCCACCCAGTTTAGATTATAAGAAATCGCAAAACCATTATTTGATTTGTTACTGGATCTGGTATAACCAATTTTTATTTATTTATTTCATGAATTGATTACGTCCGTGTACATAGTTTATTTAATTTATTCATCTAGTATTGAGACAACGCATTTATACACTGCATTCAGAGTAAGATATGAACGTCATCTGAAGGCATGGCGTTGAAATTCTAATTCCAAAAGCATTTCTTTTTTAAAAAATGATGTTATAATTAGCGATTCGATTATGCTCAACTGGCCTTTTGTAGTAAATTAATTCATTCCTGATTTTTCTCTTTGAATTGTAATGTAATTTATTCACGATCGGATTATATTTTGACTGATTTTACAAACTACTTAGACGATTTTGTGCATTGATCCGATTGTGTTATAATTATTCAGAAGAAATTTTCAAGAACAAGACAGACAGCCCTTTGTCTTTGTTGGCAAGACCCACATCTCGATGTTCTTAATAATCACATGATTTTATCTGCTTTGAATTAAGATATCGTCATTAAACATTTCTGTGAAATTCAGAAGAACATCTTTTGCAACCATCATTGGCATCGTTTTATGTAATCCAATAGTAATACACGATTGTGTCTGTCTTGTAATTTTGAATTTTCATATTTCGCTAATTGCATAAATGACATCACTAAAATATCAAATTCCCTATGAAATTTCATAAGCGCTTATTTTTTATTTAAAATTTAATATTAATAAATATATATTTCAATTAAATATCAAATCAACGCAACTGTAAAATGTTTTCAGTGATTTATTAGTACCGAGATTCTAATTACTTGCACTAAACGATCCAAATATCATAAAACAAATATATGAATAGAGAGAAGGGATTACATAAATCAATGTAAAATGGCACATATAACACTAAGTAGAACTATAATAGAATGAATTATATCTTGTGATTTATGGCGAATTCTAACAATCGTCTTATAGGATATATTTACCTTCAGCTACCTATGTGGTTATTACTGTATAAAACGCAATATCTCTTGTACAGTGATTGCAGGATCAAGGTGCGGTGTTATAACGGTTAAAATAAAAATATATCAACAGCTTAATATTCTTAATGATTCTTACTTTATATGTTGACAACCTTTAAGTATACATTTTATTACTATTAAAAACGCCATGTCACAATATCCACAGAGACCTTGTCAAAGGTGATCCAATGTAAGGTTTAAATATACGCTGGCTTAATTCCATAAAGTCATTTAACAACATAAATAATTATTCTAAGTGTCATCTCAGGAGATCAGAATGGCGCTAAAGGTCTTGGATATCATTTTTATACCGGCTCTCTGCTATACATTTTACAGTACTCATTAATAGTAACGCAACCAGAAACATGTGTTAGAGGAATGTAGGTTAGCTATATAAAAGAATAATTAGCTAAAATATTAGTAACTTAATTTAGATAATATTTAGTATCTTACATAACTACAATTACAAAACCAAAATATTACAAAATGTGTTAACCGGGAAAGTCACGGTTTAGAAGAAACCGTTTTTTTAATCATGGGTAATTAGTAGATAAGAAATATTTTAGTAGAAAAAGACAACGGTAGTTTATTTATATAATGGAATAATTATCCAATAATTTAGATAAAATTTCGTATTTTAGATTACTACAAAACTAAATTGTTAGCTGTGTGGATTTTCCAGGTAAACCAACTATTATTTTCTGACTGGAAGTTTTGGCTTGATAGAAACCTTTACTTTATTTTACGAGGGGCGATGTAAGTGCATGGTTTCGTAGAAAGCGTTTTTAAATCATAAATAACATACAGTTTCTTAAACAATGACACGTGTTAATAATTGAAGATCCTACATTATCTCCGAACAACCCATGCATACATGTACTTTGTTTATAATAGCATACATGCCTGCTGTCATTATGCAAATTCACTTTGCTGATTTTGCCACCAAACATTCCTTTATCACTTAAGGGATTCGTATACAGTAAACCTTTCTTCAACCGATATTTTGGAATATATTATATAAAGCAGATCAAGAGTACAAACTAAAAAATATTGTGTTTGCTATATGAATTCCGTGACTTGTTCCTGAAAGATTAAGCATACCCCGCCAAGTGCATGATATCGACCACCGTTCATAGTATACATCCGTAAGACGGAAACCATAGCCACCGCACCAAGTAGATGACAATCTAACTTATGTCATAAATAGTCATGCTGTTGGCCAATTCCTGCAAATGATAATAACGTGTTCTTGGAATTCATTTTTTAAAGAAACAAAAGAACAACCGAATCAATACATTTAAGTCAATGTCGGTTTAGTCCAAAATTGCTGTATACAAATCTCAATAGCATCTTTGTGCCAGTTGGTGTCTTCTCGTGTTTATATGATGTTGATTGTGTAATTTGTATGAAATACAAATTGTATATTATAATCATTGTACATAATCTCTTAATGTCTATGGAATAAAATGTGTTGATAAAGAAACATGTAAGTTTGTTGTCACATCGTTTGATATTGCATTTCTCATCTAATGCAATATCAAATGCTCAAGTTACGCTGGTTTCAATACCCCGGCGATCGTTAGCTTGCAATATTTGGAGGTATAACTATTTGAAGTGTATCTTATGATTTATTTTCATGACTGTAGAAACCTAATCCAATTTGGTAATAATTGTTCACGGCCTTGTCTACAGAGAATAATTGGCTACGCTAAGTCTATAAATTATGTATAAAACTATGATTTTTAGTTCTAAACCGTTTGATTATTATGTTCTCTCAAGATATTTAGATGGCTACAGTGTACTGCATAAATAAAATTATATTAAGATAAATATATCATGTGTAGTCCTTACATGCATTTTATGTAATGATTTTGCCATATGCCCTTGTCTATAATTTCAACAAATTAGAGAGAGAGAGAGAGAGAGAGAGAGAGAGGGGAGAGAGAGAGGAGTGGGTGTAACGTCCACTCGACACAAACTAGTCCGGACTTCTAATAAATCGCTTGCGCAGTGGGAGGAAACCGGAGGACCCGGAGTAAACCCACGAGGTCAGACAGGCGACCCTACTCCTTTTCACGTCCAACCGGGGAATCGAAACCACGCCAGTTGACTCAATCACAAACCTTATGATACAACGCGCACGCGCTAACCATTTGGCCATCCAATCCCGCTATATAGTAATGAAGATTAATGGATCTGTAGATACAATGGCGACTTTTCTATATGGCCACAGATCACTAAAGATTTGCCCATTGACTTTAATGTTAATTTTCGTCTCTTAGAAGGGCTCTAACGTTTTCCCAAATTTTCGTCGGGTAGAACGCTTTCTACCACAGATGGAGCAACATGTGGCAATCTCTTGCCCAAAAGCACGTATGAGGTTCACCATGGAAAACTTGACATACACAAGCTGGAAGTAGAGACAAGTAAACATGTAATTTTTGACCCTACATTTCAACCTAACCAACCTCTCAACTCTTGTATCCTTCCGCCTCAAAATCATGAATATTCACCAAAATCTGGCAGCAAATGTATTTTCAAACCCTTTTCTTCGATTCTACACCAAAAAGTCAACAAAAATCGCCATACAAAAAGGGGAAAAGGGAAAGGGAGAGAAAGACTAAAAATAACTTTCTCCCTACATATGAGGTAAAGAATTACATGTGCCATGACTGCATCTTGGGTCTTATAACAGTATAGGGATACCGAAATCCACATCTAACGTGATTCAAAATTATGAAATTGAATGAATCTGCGGAGACCAGGCATTTATCGGTCTAGTCAATTCACCTGTGTTTAGTACGTTTGGTCAATATAACAATGGTTTATCAGAATGTGACGGTGACCGGAATCCATATCTACTGTGATTCAAACCATGAAAGCTTTTATTTTCAGTTTATAAACCGCTTTTTATTGAATAAATCCACGTTGACCACGTAACTGCTTATCTAAATCACCTGTTTCTGGTACGTTTGAAGGGTGCGTTAAACATGCGTCAGGTGATGATGACATAGCGAGTGGGGTGGATGAAAATTCGCATTGCCAAAAAATGGGTCTTTTTGTTGTTCACTTACCTACTGATTATACACCTAACCATTTATAGCAGAATCTGAAAATAAATCGTCCTCAATACTTTTGTACAAGCCACCCGGTGAACCTTAATTAAGATGAAAAGAAATGAAATGGGGTTTAACATCCTACTGAACCCTAATTAAACAGAAAACAAAGTTAACACAAGCAAGTTTTACGAAAATGAAAGCATAATCCCTCTTCATGATGTAGCATTTCTTAGTAAAGCATTTAAGCGTAAAATTTCAAAATAATGCCATGTGTTTTAATCCGATGACAAATAATTTAAATATTCTTGATCAGTAAAAAAACGAAAGTCATATCTTATTCATGTTAAGCTTGTGTTTAATCAGTACGACAGTTGAAATGTCACCAGAGAACAGAAATGTCGTATTTCTTTCATTTCTAGTGAACGTTTGTCATTGTGCACAACATTTAAACACTAGTTAAAGCTGATTTACTCCTAAATTACCAGGATCATAAATCTTAGTTGACACGTGTTAAGAAACAGTCTTTATTTAGCATGTGTAAAGATTATTAATATTTCGAGGATAATATTTGAAAAGAATACACGAATACACTCAAAATAAAGTGATATCAAGTGTTCCAGAAAGAGTACACATATCACACCCTACGTAAACACACTCGTACAAAGCACTAATATTGACAAATAAAATAATTGCTATTATATTGTAATATCCGGGTTCAAAAATTTGCAGTAACAAATACAAGACATTTTTAATCTTCTCGCACCGAGTGATCACCATAATTCTAATACTTAACTTACTAACATACAAAGGGCTCATTATTTGATTAACAGTGACATACCGCAAGTCCGTAAAAATGTTCAACTGTAAAAAAGACAATACAGTGCAACCCACCAATGGACGCCCATTGAGTAATACGTTGGCTCACTAGGGTTTAACGTCCTACTTCTCTGCACCTACCGAGAATACAAAGTTGGGCAAACTTCATGCAGTGTGCAATGAGAAAATTTTGCCCGTACAATGTTGTTTCCATCTATTTTACGTACACATGGCATCGATAAGACGCCCTTATCTTGTTCAGAACCATTAACAAGGGAACCAAGGCTTCGAACTATACATTATGTTCAAGAAGTAAGTCACCTTAAACATTGACTAGTTGTATCTGACAAGAATGATATATTGTGACATATATGGAGTGTACAGTCCAATAAAAAGGGCAAGCTGCGTCAACCCCCTAGACAGTTAAGAAGTGGTAATCGGTGGTCTACAAAGAAGTCAGGAAAAATTAGGACTAGTAATTTTAATAATATTCATAAAACGATGATTATGAAATGAAATGAAATGGGGTTTAACGTCCTACTGTATATGGCGGAGTCTTTTCCACTCTGTACACACCATTAAGAGTTGTTCTACCCAATGTACAATGTAAAGAAATCAGTATTCATAAACTCGCGAAATAGTTGGCATATTTTCTCAAGTCTGAAAGGCAAACTAAAGCGTTAAGATATTAAACATCAATTTTCTAAAAGCTCTCAAATAAGCTGTCGTTAATTACAAGTGGGTTTTTAATCTATTCATAATAAGTTGACATTGAGAGGTTGTCAAGAGTTCTCTTCCCATCAGGAGCCGAGGTCAATTTACCATCGGAGTGCCCCCCTGAGGTGAAGTACAAATAGACGCTTACGAGGTAGGGTGTTTCCAAACTAGACAAGATTTGCCCCAGGGCAGTCTGTGGTCAAGAAAATAACACGACTGGACTTCAATACATATATTACAAAGATTAAGACTCATTTTCAGATGAGAACAACTCTAGATCAGCACTCAGCTGTGAAAGACTATTGTCATCGGTTGATCAGCGTCTTATTGCCCACCATATGAATATCAAACTGTGACTTATTATCTGTTTGAGTGAATATATTCGTATTAAAATGTATGCATTATTTGAACAATCTGTTACAGAAAGGTAGTATAGAGTTTCATACATTTAATTATAACCTACGACATTATTAAATTTGAAGCCATCGTTGAATTTTCGACAAAACACAATTACTCTTGTTATGTACTTGAACTTCCGAAATAAATGTTAACAGAAGTTTGTGAAATATTGTTAAGATAATACTCAATAAAGATTTTAAAGATGAATACAATGATGATGAATGTCCAAATGTACTGTTGTGTGCATCATTCCATTTTGCATTAGTCATGCTACCAATTCACTCGCAGTTTGCCAAGTACTCCTATAAGACTTTGTATTCGTCTTAGTAAAGGAGAGAGGGGGGGGCTAGTGGTCTAGAGTGTCGCCCTTCGACCTTCCCCTCTGGCTTGCGGTTGTGATTTCGATCCCTGGTGTGAGCGTATGTGGCTTGCAGATAGAGGCGTATTCTCAACCTCTTGGGTTTGCTACGGGTACTCCGGTTTCCTCCCAAAGCAAAGACTCCTGCGCTATGATAATAGAAATGAAAATATGACTTGTTGGCGATATCACCATCGGTGGACGCGGACGTTAAAACACTAAGAGCAACAACATGTCGTAGTACATGTATCTTAGTACAGGTACTGCAAGCTATTTGTCCCATACTGTTTGGAGTATGGATCTTGTGCAATTACTAATTAAAGATACATTATGGGAGATTGGATAAGGAGCTGGTAGTTCTCATTATAATAGTTAAAAACTAGATAATGTAAAGGGAATTTGCTGAAAATTTCAGTCAAATTGATCCACTCTGAACCGAGATTTTACCGATTGAATTTTCGACCTAGCCTCGATCATCATTACTAAATTAGGTACGATAAAAATCATAATTTCGATTATCCATTTCATGATTAAATCATGAATGAAAGTTGAGCAGCAATTCGGATCCTAATCCAGCAAATATGGCAGACTAGCGATGACATCGATAGTTGATTATGGTCTGGATAAGTTAATTAATGTCTAATTAATAATTTAGATAACATTTCGGGCCTAAAGAAAGACCTGCAATAGGCAGATTTAGCTCTTGCATTATGTATGTTTAAGTGTCAGCGTTCTTGGAAACAATTGTTCTAAGGAAGCTTTTAAAAATAATTAACAAAATGGGTAGACCATAAAATATCTAAGACGAATAGAATAAGACTAGTAATCGTTTTCCCTTATTTCGGCACCCAAAATGTAGTTCGTCTATTTATATCAATTCTTTCCACCGACTTGTTGACTTTTGGCCCATAATCGAAGAAGTGTTTCAATTTACATTGTCTACCAGGTTTTAGTGAATAGTCACGATCTTTAGGTGCACTGAATAGGAAGTAAACAGCCATGAATTAGGGAAATCACCTAATAACATGACGTCACAGCCTATATATTTTTTGACTAGGCGGATAAAAAGATCTGCAGGATGATCACCCAACTACAACATTTGTATTAGATAAATGCAACATGATAGGGAAGGTC